ATTAAGTTATGATTTTTTTATGTTGGGCCAGAAAAATTGGATTTTTACCTGATGAATAGTAAAAATCGGAGAATTAGCGTTTTTCGTGAAAAGTTGAGCCCAAGACCATCCAATGTGGTCCAAAATGGTTTTGATTAAACCCTAAGTGGATCCAATAGCAAGGTATAACACAAAACAGCACCCATAGCACATGGCCAGTGATTTTGTTTATATCTAACCTTCCTCCATGGCTATACATGAAACGCAAGTATTCGATGATGTCTATGATAATCTCTAGGCCAAAGCAACTAGGAAGTGATATGGACATATATCTAGCTCCATTAGTTGAAGACTTGAATGTATTGTGGGAGAATAGAGTTGATGTATATGATGCATACAAGGAAGAAACATTTAAGTTGAGAGCTTTGTTGTTTGGCACAATTCATGACTTCCCGGCGTATGGTAATCTCTCAGAGTATAGCATTAAAGGGTAACTTGGTTGTCCCATTTGTGAAGAGAGCACAAATTCCATAAGGTTGAAGCATAGAATGAAAAATTCATATATGGGATATTATAGATGGTTACATTATGAGCATCCTTACCAATGATTTAAAAAATATTTCAATAGGGATTCAGGAGATGGTTGCATGGTTTTGTTGAATGTTGGGTTGAATTGGTATGAGGTTTCAAAATTATAAGGGGACTGCTGGCAAAGCAAAACCCGTATTAAAAAAAAAGTTTCCACAATACTTGACAATTTTGAGAACCATCAAGTATTATTCTTTATACTTGACGGTTTCTAGTTAAAACCGTCAATTACTTTTCTTCAATAATTGACAGTTTTAATGGTAATCGTCAAGTATTTTGGGCAATAGTTAATGGTTTTTCTATTGTTCTTCAATAATTGATGGTTTTAATGGTAACCGTCAAGTATTTTGGGCAATAGTTAACGGTTGCTCATAAAAACCGTCAATTGTTCAAGTAATACTTGATGATTCTTCATGTAAAATTGTCAAATATTATTATAATATTTGACGGTCAGTAACTGTCAAATATCTATTGTTCAAATATATAATGCCAGTATACTTGATGGTTTTTAACTGTCAAATATGACTCAAAATAACTATCAAGTATTTGTCATTCTGTAGTAGTGTAATTTCTAATTTTTCTAGAATTTATGCCTAAATTTAGATGGACATAACTTTTTGTACAAAATCTAATTTTGATAAATTACCACTTGTTTTAAAGATAAAAATATGATCTACAAATCTACCAAGTTTCATACCAAAACTCAATCATTTAACTAAAATCATGTTGGCATGAAATTGAGGTATTATTAGGGTTATTTTATCCTATTTTCATGCTTTTCCTTGATTTTTCTTTTCCTTTAACATTATGTAATAATTCCATTCACATACCATATGTTCAAGCATCACATTTCTAGTCTATTATAGCCACCAAAGTCAGCATTGCAAATATCCAAACTTCAAACATAATTATTACAAATTTACATAACAAAGTTCACATAAATACATAAACATTATGAGCATCGATAACTTCATCCCAACATAATCTCCTTGCACTTCTTCTTAGGAGTTCCAACTCCTAGATATTTAATTAATTAAAAATGGAAAGAGAGATTATAAAGAAATCCCAGTAGCAAGAACTACAATAATCATGCTAAACATGCGATGCAAGAATGCCATACCTCACTAACTAAACATCATGAATATTTTCATGCTCATATGCCGTGGAAAGTGTCACATCCCAAAAATTTTCACCTAGCTATAAAGGATTAAAAAAATTAGGATGAGGGTCAATTGAGGAACTAGATTAGAAGATGAAACAAATTTTGATATGAAACCCCGAAAAGGTCTGGACTGACATTTTGATAATCATCAGTCTAAGAAGGGTAAAACGGAAAAATTTGAGAAAAATTTAAGAAAATCCCTAACAAATGGGAAAAGTGTAGAGTAGAGGTTGTGGAAAGTCAATTGGGGCCTGAAAGGTGGAAATTCATTGAAAATGAATTATTACGGAATTTCCAGTAAAAAGAGGTTTTTCGGGAAATTATTAGAAAATTGAAGGAAAATAATTATTTTAATTAGTTAGAAACCTTAATAAATTTGGGAGATTTATGAAAAATTCATCTAAATATTTATTTGAATTTATCAAATCAGTTTTAGGCCTTGAAAACTCAAGAATTAATTTTAGGGAATTTATTTTCCCTTAGATTTACCGATAAAGGCCTAATCGGAGAAAATTCAAAATTAATACCTAGAGGTGGCAAAAAAATTCTAAAAAATTTTAGATCATACTCCTATATTAAAAGGTGAATTATTATGGAGATAAATGAATTTTTAGAGGCCTGGAAAAATTATGGAATATTACTAGTGAATAGTAACTGATAAAGTTTCTAATTCGTTTGAGATAGTGACTTGGTTTGTAGGCTAGTTTTTTGGGCCAGTCCAAACCATTTGTGGGGCCCACAATGGACCTAAGAAGGGCCTAAATTCATGCACTTTCCAAATTCCATCATTTTTATTAAATAAAAAGTGAAAATCAAGAGAAAATGGTTGGAAAAATCTAGTGCAAGGCCCTATGTTCAAATATGATCAATTTCCACACTTGATGGCTGCCACATAACCCCATTGAGCTATCCCAATCCAGCCAAATCAGGAGGGAGGAGGAGCAGCTCATTTTCTCTATAAATACCCCTTGAAAATACAAAGACAATGTTAGAAAATTAGGAAAAATAAGGGGAGACTCTATCACTGTTCATCCAGCCATATTTTTTGAACAATTTAAGGTGTTTTAGGCAAGGAATCATCCAACTTACTTCAAGAAAACACTAAGGTATGCCTAAGCATCAATATCGCTAAGTTTTACATTGATTGGATTAAGATTTTGGCTTGGAAAAATGCTGAAAAAATGCTAAAAATTCTACCAAAATTTCGGTTGGATGTGTGATGCTTAGGAAAGGATAGAAACCTTAATAATCAAGTGGAATAAGCAAGATTAAGTGATGTATGGATTGATTTTTGGATGAAATCAAGGTTAGTGTTCAAAGGAAATTTTTTTAGCCAGCACTATTCATGCAGGAGTTGATTGTTTTTCATTGAGTTGATGATTCTAATGGCTTTAGAACATGTTTTTGTGTAGGGATATGTTATTGGAAAGTGTTTAAAATCATTGGAATCAAAAATAGAATTTTTAGAAAATAAATACCCCCTATTCGGCTAAGAGGAATTCATGGGGAAGGAGTGTGATTTTTAAAAATCTAATTGCATCATTAGATTCCTCATGGAAAATTGTGTAGGGTTGAGTCGTGAGATGATTAATTCTAAAGAAGGAATCAACTTGTTAAAAATCAAAGAAAAAAGGGGGAAATTGTTAGGTTAATGTTAAATTGTTGGAATTAAGTTGTTTAGTGATTAATGTAGCCTATGTTTATACTTGGTTTAATAGGCATTGAGAGGAGGAATTAAGGAGAAGCATTGGAGGAATTAATTAGACAAACTTTACAAAGGTAGCTTTGAATTATAATTTGATTGTTTTTCTTGCTTGTTTGTTGTTACTTGGGTTGGAGGAACCATGTGGTGACCTTGATTGTTGATTGATATTGGTTATGCTTTGGTCAAATGCTTTGTGGTATGTCAATGTGGCGATATTCCTCTCCTTGCATGATATTTGGTATGAATTCCTATGAGTTGGGAATGGTGTGGATTGTATGACATGTCACAATTAAACTTGTATTGATTTATATGATAATTATAATTCATATGCTACTGAGATTTTTTTGAAATCTCATTCCTCCTATGTTATTTTATACACTAATTAGGAAGTGGACCAAGTATGGAGCAAGGAAAGGAGATAATCTTGGGATAAAGGAGCATTATAGAATAGATGCTATTATGTTATGTTGTGAAATTTAATAGTGAACTTTATGTTGAGATTCTAATAGATTATGTATGATTATGTGATGCAAATTATGTTTGTGTGACATGCTCTCATGCTCAAATTATGAATGGTGTAATGTCAAAAGAGTATAGGAAAAAGAAAAATAAGAAATAAATTAAAGAAAGTGGTATTAGGGGATAAAATCTCCCTAAATAGTGCCAAACTTGTGGCACATAAAATAATGAGCAATGGTTCGAATTTGGACATGAAATTTTATAGGCAAATAGATCTCATTTTTAGCTTAAAAAAATGGTAATTTATTAAATTTGGAGTTGTGTGCTAAGAGTTATTCCCTTCCAAAGTTGAGCAAAAATACTAAAAATTTAAAAATTTACCAAATGAACAGTACCCTTTGACGAATTTCCTGTAATTATTCTGGATGGAATTGGACCTAATGATTATTTTTCCTCCATAAAACTCTTAGCAAGCTTCGAAACATGTTATAATGGTTTACTTATGAATTAGAACCACTTTGTCTTGATTTTTCTAGATTTACTTATGAATTTTCAAAGTTGGCCTTTTTTTAGATGAACAGTGTACGGACATGATGAACATTAAAATCCTGAATTTTAAAATTTTTCATCCAGAAATGCTGCGAAACATGTTATAATGGTTCCAATTGATGTATAATGGTATATAAACATAGGTGTGACACTTTTTGGTATCAGAGCAAAGGTTCTAACTTTGTTTTTGTGCATTATATTAACTGTTACGTGTTGTACATAATGATTGATTATTGTGATTAATGTATGGTAGTTGCACTGTTCTGATTGTCATTGTTGATCATGAAGTGTGATTATTGATTGATTACTTTTCATTGGATTATATCTAGGTGGAATGGTATGTTATAGATTGAGTTGAGTATAGAATAATCTATGGCCTGCTGTAGTGATGATTCCAGGAAAACAGTAAACCAGAGGATGCTGGGGAAGCCATACCCAGATTGGTACTATCCACATGTTCCTGACCCTGATGGCCTGACTCCACCACCCGGATATTACTAGCCTCTTTGGGAGATAAAGAATATAATTTTGGAAGAGAACTCTAATGACCTGATCAAGTTAGAGAAAGGGGATGCCCAGAGCACCACAAGACCTCAGCCACATCCTAACGAGGTGGGTCCCAGTACCATCAGGGCAGTACCTATCCAAACTGTGAAGCCAGAATAGATCAAGACTAAGGATCTACCAATCAAGAAGAAACCCTTACTGACAAAGAAAGAGTTTAGAGACTATGATAGCATCCTAAGGGAGCTACGAGAGCTGGGAAGGTGTATAGACCGGACCCAGAATCAGTATGGTATTACCTATTTGGATTTTCTCCTTTATGTGAGGTTATTGTACAATGAAGTAATTGAGGAGAATCCAAATACTAATAATACTCTTTGGAGCCGAGCATTGAATGATTTTCTCAATCACTCCCCCTTACTACCCGTAATGTTACAATCCCTCTCAAGAGTCCATACTCTTGAGTTACTCTTAGAAAGTGAGTAAAGTAGATGTATCAAACTCTCTCACATAGTAAATGAGTAATAAACACTAAAGCTCGGTGAAAACAGAGTATTGAATGCAACAGTAAATATTTCGACAGAAGGTAGCTCACTTATTTGATACTTCATTTAATGCCCTTTGTGCCTTTTATAGTTGGAGAGATTTGATTAATCGTTAGACTAAAGAGCTTCTAGCCATTATAAATTTGATTGCGTGTGTTTGGCAGTTGCAATGGTAGTTTGCTATTAATGTTTCTGACACGGTAGGTTGAAGGCTACTAAATAATTGTTGAGCTTCGTAATTTGTAACAACCTCAGAAACAAATAAGTCTTCTTTCAGAAGGAAATTTGTAAAGCTAACTAAACAAATAATGATTATTTGATATTTATATAACATTAGAAGTATAAAGAATCAATCATCAGATACTTTAAATATAACCTGTACATTCTTGATCAAAGTCTTGATCAATGAACAGTTGATCAATTAAGTTATCGATTAAACAGAGAGAAACAGCTTGAAATAGTCATGTATATTTATCGATTAAATTATGGATCAACAGATGATCGAACATCTGATCGATAACTGGTGAGATATGACTACAATGATCTATGAAAAGGATTTTGCAAGAAGAAAGTTTTAAGATCATATATGCCTCTGAATCCTTTCAAAGAGAATTATGTGTAAAATGAAGGCTGAAAAAAGCTTAAAGATAAAAATATGAGAGATTTTGAAATCATTAGGAAAAGCTTGTTGTGAAATGAACTTGTACAATGATCAAATAAGTGATCGAAAATTGCTTGATCGATCATGTTGTCGATAAAGCTAAGTATGAGCATAATAGTTTTTCAAAGACCATTGATCAAATACTTTATCGATAAATGAATGATAGGAAAACTGATCGATAAAAGGTCAAGAAAAGTTTTTCACATCAAAATCACAGAGTGTATAATGTTCAAGTAGTTGATCGATTAAAGATTGATCGATCAAGTGATCGATAAAATAGCATTTGAAAAACTTAGTTCAAAAGGCCAGGAAAGAGTTTGATTGATCAAAATAGAAGTTTCAAAAGATTGGATGATCGATTATTTCATCGATAAATCAATGATCGATCAGGTGATCCAAAAGAGACTTAATACAGTTTGGTGTAGTGAGATAGTGATGATCGATCAGTTGATCGATAAAGCATTGATCAATCAAGTGATCGATTAAAGAACCCAACAACACACTTGGACATAATATCAATAATCCATTAAGTTATAATGTAGTGGTAGAGTAGGTTATCAATAGATCTCTAATTGATAATGTGATCGATAAATAGTGAATAGGACAGAATACAACGTGAGTAGGAAAATTTACCATTTATCTGTCTTCTCATCGATAACTCATTTATCAATCAAATGATTGATAAATGCTTATTAGAATTGTGTCCTTTTATTTGTCAGTCGTTCAATCATTACATTATTGATCACTTGATCAATAATTATCTGCATACTTGTATATTAAACTGTGTTAACCTTGATCGATAAATTGATTGATCAACATATAAAAACTTATTTATCTAACAAGTTATCGATAAACGTTACTGCTAAGTTACTTTTATACTGAGATACTTTATTTGTTAGGTAATCGATTAACCTTTGATCGATCAACTTCCTAAGCCAGAAATTACTTAATTTGTTATCATCAAAACCTTAAATCTAACAATAATGAATAGTGAAGGCTAAGTGAAAATAGGTAGAATGGAAAGAAGAAAAAGAAAAAGATGAGTACCATATACCTCAATTGTTCTCTTTATGCAATCGGTATCTATCTTTCTAGAGATGGTTTTAAAATTCTAATGTAGCAAATTTCTGTTTGCTATTTATTTCTATTTCATTTCATTTTTTCACATCTATTTTCCTTTTTTTTTCCTTCTTTTTTCCAATCATTTTTTCTTTCTTTGTTTTTTTCAGAAAAATACTCAAGCAATCACCATTTTTTTCAATAAAGATATGATACTTATAGCATTTTCTATAAATATACATGTACTCAAAGGATGATCCAAAGCGGCTAGCAATAGTTAAGTGTTTCTGCTTGTGTATGGGTAAAAAAAGGTTTAGAAATGAATGCTTCCATCATATTCACAAAATAAATAGTTTATCAAGTCTTAATTAAGGATTAAAACAACTTCTAAAGAGATATAAAATTAAGCAGACACTCACAAGTGAAATAATTTAGGCCCAAATATCCTTCCAACATGGTTATCATCTCAAGTGGTCATCCTCAAAGTTCAAAAGCACATAGCACTACATTTAAGGCATAAAATCACTTCCTTCTAGTTGAAAACATTGAAGAGGGAATTAACCAAAACCAACTATCATTTAAAAACATGGATGATTTTCCAAAATCACAAGTAGGACTTTGAATTTTCAAATTTTCAAAGCAAGGTAGAGTGAAAAATCCAAGTTGAGAAGAGTTGTTGATGTGAGAGCGCTAAAATCATAACAATGAAATTGCAAAGCAAAAACGAAAAAGGAAAAAGAAAAGGCAACAAGAAATTTTGTTCATTTTTTTTTAATTTTTAAAGAAAAAATGGATTTTGACTTTGTCGCGGTAAAGATGGATCCTTATAGTGGTGAAAGGTTCCTAAGAGAAAAAATAATTAAATGCTGAAGGGCTTCACCACAATGAAATCATGAAGTGGCTGCTGTGAAGCAAGGTAGAGACGTATAAAAAATGAAAATATACAGTGCAATTTCAAACCTTACACATCACACATCAAAACCAAAGATCAAGAGGTTCAAGCATACCAAAATTTATCTTGTCCTAATGCACTTAATAAGCAAAAAGTGATGCAAAAGATGGATTTTGTTGAAATCAAACACAAAAATCCCTTCCCCACATTTAAACAAAACATTGATGCAAAAGATAGATTTAGTTGAAACCAAACACAAAAATCCCTCCCCCACACTTAAACAAAACATTTTCTGCAATATTGTAATAGCAGAACATAGACTAATCACTGGCAGTATCATCGGTCTCTATGATATAGTGTTCCTTCAGACGCTTTATTTCCCGGAAGACTTAAAGAAGTTATTGGTAGATGTCTTCGGATAGCCCATCAATCTCATCAGCGAGCATGTCTAGCATGACAGGTTCTTGGGCTTCTTGGCCCTCCAATCCTAGTGCATTCATTGCTTGGACTATACCAACATCAACTCCTGGTAGTGGGGGTGTGCTGGTTTAAGAAATGGTTGTTTAAGGTGGTCATATTTGAAGAGCGTGGCCAATTCAAAATAGTTGTCATCGTCAAACTTAGACACATTGGCTTTACAGAAGAAATTAGTGATAAGGTGGGGAAATATGAGGTTGTTGATGAGTTTAGGTATGTGGATGGCATCTTGGATTGTCGAGTAGATTAGATTAGCTGTATCTACTGGTTGCCCAGTCATGAAGAGGTAGATAAGGAGGGTGAAGATGCTATTGCCTAGAGAATGCTACTCAATGAACCCACTCAGTTGGGACTCCTCTAATTATTAGACAAAAGGGACGCTTGGAGTTTTGGGAAAGGGACGCTTCTTGAGGAGGGCCTGATGGTCTACTTGGCCATAAATTTGCTTAAAGGTGACCTCCTTCTCAAATTCACTGGAGGGCTGAGGATTCTTAGTACGGGGCATTATTTTTGGAGGAAAAAAAAACAACAACAACACATATAAGACTGAACACAAGCAAGACAGAACTGACACTACCCATTGAAAACCAAAGACCCACAATCTTAAAGGGAACAAAAGTGGCTAAACAATGATTCAAAGATTTTCAATTGAAAAGAGAGTTCACAGTTTGAAAGACAAACACCAAAATAGCACAATGCACAATAAATCATTAATTAGCCTAATGGTTACATAACCATTACAAACAAAAAAGGACTACTGATTGAATCCAATTATTCTATGTTATTTCATATCATTTTGAGGGTTTTTATCATAGATTTTGGCTCCTTTTATTGATAATTGTGCTTAATTTAGATTTAGAGTCCTTACTCTGTGTTAGTGTCTTTTTTAGGGTAAAATTGTCATAATTAGTTATTAATTGTATTCAATTGATTTCTAGGACAATTGATGCTTCAAATTATTGCTTTTCATTGTAGGACACTTGAAAGTTAGAGCCAAGATTGAAGACCAAACCATTACACAACGTGAGAGTTTCCAAGAAAATGCTGTGCTGTAGCAAAAAGTCTGAAAATGTGCATCAGTGGCTATTCTGGAATAGTTCACCGGGGTAAACTTTTTGGTTCGCAGGGGCAAACTCTCAAAATCTCACTAGAATACCTCTCTGGAATAGTTTGCCACAGCGAATCTCTTCGTATCAGGAACGTTAGATTCAGATCCAGAACGCAAATATAGACCCTCTACTCATATGATCCGACCCAGATTGACCCCTTAAGCCCTTAGAAACCTTATTTTCGACCTAACACTCCATTCTATCATCTCAAACACCTCTATTCTCTCATCTTCTTGCCTCTCCACCTCCATCTTCTTCCCCATCCATTTCCTTCATCTTTCCTTCACTCCATCTCATTTCCTTCCACTCCGAGCTGCCATGGCCGATGGATTCACTTCAGTTGGAGCTTTTCTTGAAGCTATGGAGGGCTAGGGTTTATCAACTCTTGATAAATAGTAAAAT